TCTTCTTCTTATGACTAGTAGTAGTAGTAGTAGTAGTCGTCGTCGTCGTCGTCGTCGTCGTCGTCGTCGTCGTCGTCGTCGTCGTCGTCGTCGTCGTCGTCGTCGTCGTCGTCGTCGTCTTCTCCGTCGTGTTGTCGTAGTATTAGTAGTCTAGTAGTAGTAGTAGTAGTAGGAGTAGTAGTAAGTAGTAGTGTAGTAGTAGTAGTAGTACAGTATCTAGTACTTAGTAGCTAGTAACTTGAAAGTAATGTAGTAGTAGTACTGGCTGAGTACATAGTAGTAGTAGTAGTATTAAGTAGTAGTAGTTAGTAGTCATAGTCATAGTCCTTAGTCATAGTCTAGTCTAGTAGTATTAGTAGTAAGTAGTCGTCGTCGTCGTCGTGGTCGTGGTCTGGTAGTAGTAGTAGTAGTAGTAAGTATAGTATTAGTAGTAGTCAGTAGTAGTAGTAGTAAGTAGTAGTAGGTTTTGTATTGTTTTAGTGAATTAGTAGTAGTAGTAGTAAGTAGTAGTAGTAGTCCGTATTAGTATAGTAGTAGGTATGAGTAGTAATAGGTGGTAGTAGTTATAATTAGTAGTAATATAGTAGTAGTAGTAGTAGTAGTAGTAGTAGTAGTGGTAGTAGTAGTAGTAGTAGTAGTAGTAGAAGTAGTAGTAGTAGTAGTAGTAGTAGTAGTAGTAGTAGTAGTAGTAGTAGTAGTAGTAGTAGTAGTAGTAGTAGTAGTAGTAGTAGTATTAGTTAGTAGTAGTAGTAGTAGTAGTAGTAGTAGTAGTAGTAGTAGTAGTAGTAGTAGTAGTAGTAGTAGTAGTAGTAGTAGTAATAGTAGTAGTAGTAGTAGTAGTAGTAGCAGCTTCCTTATATTCACTCCGCAGCGGGTTCCCCCTCCTCCTCCTCGTCCACTTCATCCTCCTCCTATTTCCTTTCTCCTCCTCCTTCTCCTGCTCCCTCCTCTGGTGCATTTTCGGGCCAGAACTTGACATAGAATCCTGGGCAATCCTTCGGGAGGACTCCACGCTGCCCGAAAGCCACTCCGACGTGGCGCAGCTGATGGAGAGCCGGGAAACTTCAAAACTCGGGCAACATCTGAAATCCGATAGCCTCCTTTCCATCCTCCTCCGGACGTCCCCAGAGGCCTCTGGAGGCCCGCTAAGGGCCAACAGCGTCCAAAATCCTCGATCCTCGAACAGCGACGACGACGAAGCAGAAGGCGACAGCGATGGCGTCGGCGGCGGCGACGAGTACACGCGCGCCCGAGGGGCAGCGTCATGGCGAACTTTGCGCCTGCAGGTCTGACTTCTGAAGCACGCGCAGCGGTTCAGGATTTGAAGGACCTGCAGCCGAGAGAACCGCCTCAGGGGTGCCGATTTGACCCGCAGGGGGCAGGCTCGCACGTGGTCACCCACCCAAGCTCCGCATGGAGGTCCCCGGAGGCATCTGGAGGCCTCCGGAGTCCCAATGCGGGCCCCAAGCGCCCAAAATATCGATCCTCGATGCTCGACATGCGAAGGAGGACGACTCGGCGGCTGCAACAGAGACGGATAGCACAGGGAAGGGCATCACATGCATGCATCCAGGGGCTCCGATCGCTCAAGCGAGGTGTAATCTATGTGGTGCAATCTGTGTGGTGCAGTCTACGTGGTGTAGTCGGCATGGTGCAAGCTATGTGGTGCAAGCTGTGTGGTTCAAGCTGCGTGGTGCACACTATGTTGTGCACTCTACGGTTCACGTAGTGAGTGCTAGCCATGCGGTGCTAGCTATGTGGTGCGAACTATGTGGTTTCTGCAATCTACGTCGTGTAAGGTCGGGGCGCCCGACGAGGCGGCCGCGGGCGGCAACGTGGCGAAACCTCGCCAGACCCACCCAGTGCACGAGGCGGACACGAGGCGGCCACGGGCGGCAGTGTGGCGACACGTCGCCAGACCCACCCCAGCTCCCGAGTGACAGAAGCAACAGACCCGAAGCGCAAGCACTGTGTGGGGGAAGCACTGCGCAAACAGAAACCCTCGGAGCTCCCGAGGGTGATGCTCACACAACCATCTCTTCAGCGGCCCTTGCCTCCGCCGAGAAGCGAGGAGGGGGAGGAGGAGGAGGAGGAGGAGAAGGAGGAGGAGGAGCAGGAGGGGGAGGAGGAGGAGGAGGAGGAGGACGACGACGAGCGGCTCGCGCGCCCGAGGGCCGCCTGGGGCCGAAGTTGCTCACGCCCACGGCGCGCACGAGGCCGTCGTCCCGCGCGCGCGAGAGGGCGAGCCACGCGTCCTGCCGCCGCCGACGACAACGGCGACGGCAGCCTCTGGCGGCCTCCTCGGCGGCCCTCTCGGCGGCAGCCACGACGGCGAGGACGGCGACGAAGACGAGGACGAGGACGAGGACGACGACGACGACGACGACGACGACGACGGTGACGACGGCGCCGACGACGACGGCGGCGACGACGGCGACGGCGACGACGGCGGCGACGACGACGACGACAGCAGCGATGGCCAAGGCCACCCCACTTCGCGAATCGCGCCCCTCGCTGCACGACGCGCGGCTGCCTCCGCACCCCGCGAGGCCGCCCCATGGGCAGGGCGGCATCCCCCCCGGCGCAGGCCGCGACGCGCGATCGGCGCGATGGGCCAGCTGGGCGGCGACCCAGAGGAACACTTGAGCAGGGATCGACCGCCCCAGCATTCTTCTAGGCCTACCATAGGGGAACAAACACTGACCTGAACATAAAGACTCGAAGGTCCGCGCGGATTCCTCGGATCGGCGCTGGACCCCCCTCCATGGCGCGGAGCGCGTCAGAGGCGGCGCTGGAGGCGCCGCCAGGGGGTCCCAGCGCCGATCCTAGGAATCCGCGCGGACCTCCGAATTTTTATGTTTATGGCATTGCTTGTTCCCCTGTACCACGACATGTTCTTAGAACCGGGCAGTGTTCTAAGCACAGACGCAGTTCTCTTAGGCAGATGCCTCAAGCCGATGCATGATAACAAGACGGTCTCAGCCAGAAATCATCAAAGGCCACTCGTGCAAAACACGACAAGTTCTCAAAACAGTCTGGTGAACGTTTTGTTATTCGGCCTCTCGACATTCGGCGCAAGGGGGAGGGGGAGGGGGGGGGTCTGGCTCCGGATCTTTGCTGAATGCGACTGTTTGCAACAGTGCGTCTTATGGCGGAGACACCACCTGCTTGAAACACGCGCCCAAAGCAGCCAAGATCTACTCCATGGGGGGGAGGGGGTGCGAGGGCCCGCGCCGATCGGCAGAACAATGAATGAGAGAACGACCAAAAGACAGCCTCAGCCAGACATGTTCGAAGACCATTTCGTGCAAAACGCAACAGGTTCTCAAAATAGTCTGTGGTGGGCCTCTACGGCAGGTTCGTGTCGTGTCGACCCCGAACGATCGGGCGCTTCCGAAACGCCAGAGCTTGTTCCCAGCAGCGTTCAACGTTGAACGCCGCCGGCGGGGCCGCCGGGCTAGGTCGGGCATGTCCTCCTACAGGCGGAGTTTGGAAGACAAATAGAAGTATAACTCATACTCGAAATGATCAGAGGAACACGCAACATCGTCCCCCGACGGTCTCTCTTGACTACTCCTGGAGATTCCTCCTGTAGAGGGACACGCCCGCCCTAAACCTACCGTGGGCAGGTCGGGACGCTTCGCCACTGCTCGAGACACCACGGCCGCCCTTCGCGGGCATCCCGCCCGCATCCCGCTGGCGCAGACGCCCCCGGCAGGACCCCCGCCGACCCCTCCCGCGCGGGGCGGCGTCGCCAGCCCCCGCGGCCCCTGGAAGAGCGAGAGCCCCTTGCCTTGGAGCGCCCTGGGGCCCGAATACGGCCCCTGAAGGCAGAGGGAACCCAGAACCTCCTCCTCCTCCCCCTCCTCCCCCCCTCCCCCCTCCCCCTCCCACCTCCCTCCCCCCCCCACTCCTCCGCCCCCTCCCCTCCCCCCTCCTCCTCCTCCTCCTCCGCCTCCTCCTCCACCTCCCCCTTCCCCTCCTCCCCCTCCACAATTACTCAATATGGATACTACTCTCCCTATTCCCCCGAAGGCGGCCTGAAAGTATTAGACCCCCCCCGCGTACTGTTTCTTACACACAAGATTCCCGGGAGTTGGGTTTTCGCCTTCTTTTTTTCAAAATGCTGCTGTCGCTGAGGCGCCGGCCTCATTTCTCCTCCCGAATCGTTCCAAATCGTGCTCCCGCTAAAGCGTGGGCCTCATTTTCGGATCGGTGTTTTGCTTCCGTCGTTCAGGATGGCGTTCTCGCCCCAGCGCGGGCCTCTTTCTCGCGCGCCCATCCGCCCGCCACCACCGCGCCGCACCACCACCACCACCACCACCACCACCACCACCACCCCACCACCACCACCACCACCACCCCACCACCACCACCACCACCACCACCACCACCACCACCATCACAACCACCACCAGCACCACCACCACCACCACCAGCACCAGCACCAGCACCAGCACCACCACCAGCACCACCACCACCACCACCACCACCACCACCACCACGCACACACGCACGCACGCACGCACGCGCACCACCACCCACTACGCACGCGCGCGCGGAGCCACAGGTCCGCTACGACACGCGTCCGCGGATAGAGAAGATCAGCGCCATGGTAAGGGATGGGAGGGAGGGGTAGGACGTCAGATATGACGCGAGCGCACCTAGCTTGCC